TATGGAAGGAGAAAGCGCTAAGCCATTACGACTATATAGTACTGGGAAAGGGTCAGGATAAGGATTTGGGGATGGGACAGGGGGCACACAAGACAAGACTAGGGTAATAATATACAGACGGACCACAGTCTCACACACAAGACAAGACTGCCCAGGGAACTCAAGACCGGGAGACATGACCACCACCCACAATTTCCAAGGGGAACGGAGAGGCTAGGTAAAATTGGACGAAACAATACAATTAATACACCCATAATGGGACACAGGAAGAAACCAAGTACCTAAAGGGGAGCCACAGAGACATGAAAACAAACTTGTCCAGAGGTAGAGTAGAATAGAAAGGGAATGCACGAGGCAGTGATGGGGCGAAGGCTCCAAACATAGAAATGCAGCTCAAGAAGCTCAGGAATGTGCACACCAGTAGAATGACAGGTGAGAAGCAGCCCCGAAATTTTTTCCCCGGACAAAACATCCAAACAAAAGATGGATGCGGCTAACGCGAGGGTGTGTAAATCACGCCGGCAAATACAGTAAAACTAATTCAGAAAAAAACTGATCACTTTCTCAAATACTTTTATTATGTGGAACGTTAGTGCAACTAACCTATAATTCTTTGCCAATGCTTTGCTCCCTCCCTTGTGTAGCGGGGGCTATGTCTGCTGATATAAGCACATCTGGCATCTCCCCTGTGTCCAAGCGCTTCCTCCACACTATACTGAGTGTCTGTGCGGCTGGCACTGTGCATTTCTTTATAAATACTGAATTCCATGAGTCTGGACCCAGAGCTGAGTACATGGGCATGTTGTCAATTTCTTTTTCAAGATCTGCCACACTTGTGTTGATATCAGTTATATTTACAGGGGTTTGGATATCACGCATGAAGAAATTATTCAGATTTTGACAGAGTCTAGGAGCCAGTCGGCCGAGCAGACAGCACACTGGACTTGTGATCCTGTGGTCCTGGGTTCGATCCCAGGCGCCGGCGAGAAACAATGTGTAGAGTTTCATTCACCCTATGCCCCTGTTACCTAGCAGTAAAATAGGTACCTGTGTGTTAGTCAGCTGTCACGGGCTGCTTCCTGGGGGGGGGGGGCCTGGTCGAGGACCAGGCTGCGGGGACACTAAAAAAAAAAGCCCGGAAATCATCTCAAGATAACCTCAAGAAGATAGCAGCCGTGAACCCTAGGGGGCAACAGAGTATGACAACCAACATCACCAAGCCTAGCCTAATAAAAGGCTAGGCAGATCTCCACTGTCCACAAAACACAAAACACAAGAAACGGAAACTAAAAGCCCCTGAAGAAACACAACAAGCAAACTGGCAGCTAGAGAGAGAAGCATCAGCCGCTACATTGTAGTAAGGCTGGCTGTGCCAGCCGCAGTGCGCCCACATCCCACATTTTGTGCCCACATTTCTGAGCTGCAGAAAACTGCCCGGGTTCAGACACCAGGCCAGAAGCACCAGAAACCAAGGCAGAGCTGGTCAACAAGGACTCAAAAGGGACACTGCCTAAGAATGCCTCCAACCTGAACAACAGCCAGAGCAACAACTAAATAGGAGTATAAAAATAGAGGAACCACCACATTGTTCAGTCAGCTGAAAATCATCCACTGAGAGAGCTTCATCATCGAGTAATGGAGCCATGTAACAGGGAAGTCACTGGTTCCATGCCAACATGAAAATATCCACCTCAGGACGATAGAATATCTTGCAAAGCCAACAGAGAGACATGTCATCAAAGGTCCACTCCATGGTAATACAATGGAAATGCAGGATATCATCTGCGAGAATGTTTGACACACCCCCATGTAAACCACGAGGAGAACCAAATCCACGAGAATCCAAAAGCCGAGCTACTCATCAAGTACAGCTCCAAGTGGGAAGGACCAACATGATGCCTCCTGGCATACAGCGAATATACCAGTGGAGCAGTCAAACTGGAACTAGAAAATGCAGCCCAGAAGAAGACAAATCCTTTGAAGGGTCTGTCACACCATAGCAAACTAGCACACTGTTGTGCACATGGTGGTCGCACAAGTGTGTGGTAGTGTGCCAAAACACTAGAAAAAACAGTTAAAAAACTAAAATGGAAGAACACCTGGAGAGTAATGACATTAATAACAGACAGGCAGTATGGTTTTCGAACAGGAAGATCCTGCGTAACAAATCTACTTTTTTTTATGATAGAGCCACAGAGATTCAACAGAAGAGAGATGGTTGGGTTGACTGTTTATCTGGACCTAAAATAGGCTCTTGACAGAATCCCACACAAGAAGCTGTTCTGGAAACTGGAACACGCTTGAGGGGTGACAGGGAGGCTTCTGACATGGATGAAAAATTTTCTAGCTGACGACATGAGGGTTGTAATCCGAGGCAATATATCTGACTGGAGGAGCGTTACTAGCAGAGTACTACAGGGTTCACTTCTTGCACCAGTAATGTTCATCATCTACATAAACGATCTACCAAAAGAAATACAGAATTACTGTATATGAACATGTTTGTGGAAGATGCTAAGATACTGGGGAAGATAGGAGACGCAGACGATTGTCATGCTCTTCAAGTGAATCTAGGTAAAATAAGTGCTTAGAGCGTCATGTGGCAAATGGAATTCAATGTAAATAAATGTCATGTTATGGACAGTGTAATCGGAGAAAATAGACCTCAGACAACTTACAAATTATGTGGAAGGTATTAAGGAACCCTAATAAAGAATGCAATCTAGGAGCAGTTTTTGGATAGTAAACTGTCACTAGAGGAGCACATAAAGAACATTGTGAGAGGAGCATATGTGTCGCTTTCAAACTTCAGACTTCCTTTTAATTGCATGGATAGTGAAATACTAAAAGAACTGCTTATGACTTTTGTGAGATCAAAATTGGAATATGCAGTACATAGTTGTATGGTGCCCATATCTCTCGAACCACAACAAAGAACTGGAGAAAGTGCAAAGGCATGCTACAAAATGGCTTCCGGAACTGAAAAACAAGAGTTACGAGGAGAGGCTAGAGGCGTTAAATATGCCAACACTATAAAATAGAAGGAAGAAGTAATATGATCACCATTTACAAAATAATAACAGGAATCGACCAAATTGACAGAGAGATTCCTAAAGTCAGCAACTTCACAAACAAGAGGACACATGCATTAAGCAGTGATGTGGTGGAGACAGACTCCATAAACAGTTTCAAGTGCAGATTTGATAGAGCCCAGTAAGCTCAAGAATATGTACACCAGTTGACTGACAATTGAGAGGTGGGACCAAAGAGCCAAAGCTCAACTCCCACAAGCACAACTAGGTGAGTACATATTCAATTTAAGGAAAAGAAAGGTGCCAACAAAATATATTAGAAAGTTTTCTTTTGCAAACCGAGTGGTAGATGGTTGGAACAAGTTAAGTGCCGGTGGTGGAGGCTAAACCCATCAGTAGTTTCAAAGCGTTATTTGACAAAGGGTATTGGGAAGACAGGGACACAACGAGCATAGCTCTCATCCTGTAACTACACTTAGGTAATTACCCAACCAACAACCCTGGGAGGCTTGGAGAGCACTGATCACAAAATCCTAAGCCAGAGTCGAGATGTCCGTGAACACACCGAGCAATGGGGAAGGAAGGCGCCATGGAACTGAGCCTCAAAATGCTCGAAGACAAAACCACACACACACACACAAGCCAATAAAGAACAAATGGGGCCCAAACATAATGGTCCCGGCAGTGGCAAAACCAGAGGAACCAACACAACTCTCCAAAGTCAAACTCTGCCCATGGAAAACACCAGATATGCAAATTTTAGGATCCCACAAAACTTCGCAAAATAACCATCAAGTCACCAAGAGCTGTCCAACACCATACAGCGAAGGTGCTGCAGGCAGAGCTGAGCTGCAGGAGGTAGAGAAAGAGAAGTCAAATGTTAATTATAAACCAGATCCAACTAAGTCTGAACATGGGATGGAGTTAACTGGGACTACTGCTAGTTCACTAAGAACCTGGCAAGTTGAGAAAGAACCAGATCCACGGCTAGCATGTGGACTGGCTGGTAACCCAAACCAGCCAGTTACCAAGATAAGCCATCTTCACACAACATGTAAGGCTTGATAAATGTACTTGTGAAGCAAATACCAAATATGGGAATAATACCCAGACTGGGAGCCCATGACAGGATAAGCGTCCAAAGGATGGCCTACACTTATAAGATAAGAAGTGGGACTTGCTAAAGCTGGCGACTCGGGTAGGTCCACTTTCAAGGACATCAGGGTTAGAAGAATCCAGGGAATCGGAGTACCAACTCGCCATAGCCCTGAACCCAACTAGGAGCCACAAACAAAATAAACGATACAGCAAAAAAGTCACATTCGCTTCAGACAAACCATGATCCACTGCCTCCTCCAGATAGTGAAGTAGACAAAACAGGAAAGCAAGCAGCACCAAGATATACCTAGCACCCACCTGGAAATTACCAAAAATTGCAAGCCAGCAGGCATGGAAAACTTCCAAGGAATTTGCCAATTCACCGCAAAACAGCAGCTAATACAACTTGGGCACAGCCCCAGCCAACACAGATGCTGATGGTGCAGTGCAGGTGGTAAATAAGTAGAATGCCCTACAAGTAATGATAGAATATAAGCTCCTTCCACAGTTTAAAGAATAAGCATGAAAATGCATTAAAATGCTTCTGTAAGTTATATATACACCAGGTACTAATTGCTGGAGATGGATGGCACAAGAGCCAGATCCAACTTCCTGTAGGCAGTGATAGGTCAATAAACAGTGACCAACCAAACTGCAGTCTACATGGACAAGGTTGTGCCCAAGCAGTTCCCCATCCATTGCAGTCAGAACCAGTGGTGCTTAATTTAAAAGAATCCCAAAATCCCATACTATGGCATATACTGTACTTATATAAGTTTATGATAAATAAATATTATACTGTTTCTACTAATATATACCACCTTGAAACATGTATTAAAAAAATATTTTAATAAAGAAAATAGCACCTACTTCCATACTCTGGGGCTATGAAGTGCATGTTCTTCATGTCATCTCTGCAGGTCTTGACATGGGAGTGGATCTGATCTGGTGCCACTGCAAAACAGGACCTTTGTCAGTTTTTCCTTCCTTCCGTGACTTGAGAAGCGCAACCCTCAGTGTTCAGTGAGCTGTTGATGTATCAGAACACACCCTGGCTGTCTAAGGGGAAACATTTGCCCAGACTTACCAATGTGGGTGTCCTGCTCCAAGCAACCAGGATGCACTGAGGCCACCTTCAGCTCACCGCCCCCCCATCAGCCAGCCCTGGTCACAACCACGCTCACATTCCCCTGGTTAGTCCCTGTGTGAGCCATGTTGTGACCCAGAGTGCTGATGACCAAACAGCGCTGCAAATCTGCACACGCTGTTCGTGGGATAAACCAAAGTGACGGACACACACGGGACAGAACTACACTTGACGAATTCCAAGTCGCCCCCCTTGACAATGACATTACATTCATGAGGATTCAGCCACAATAAGCAAAAACCCACACACAAAGTCCCAAGTCACATCACAGTTTTTACATAAGATACTCTCAATTTTCAACTTCGGGTAGCACCCATCTCAAGCCACTATTTTCGTGATAAAATAATCCTTATTTTCTAGTTCCTTAAAACTACATCAACCAAAAAGTATTTGGTAAATAACTTTACCTGAGCCAATCTTGACGAGGCCGTTGTGCTGGATAAATATGGTGTCGGTGGTGAGGTTGCCGTGGATGATAGGGGGGGAGCACGAATGCAAGTAACTGTAACAAATATAATAGTGAATGGTAATAGGCCCCCCAGGTAGGCTTTTGCAGCAGATCCCTCATAGCCTTGCCTGGGAGACACTCCACACCACCCACTCACTGTCCCAACTATGGTCAGGCTCACACAATGTGCCCCTGCAGTGGTTCATGGTTAATAACAGCACACACCACCTGATCCATGTGATCAGGCAGTGACAGGCCCGGAAGAGAGGCCAACAACACAGCGTGTGAGACACCAGAGTGAGGACTGACATGGTGGGTGAGGGAGACTCCTGGCCTCGCACACAGCACACGACTCCTCCACCTCCTGTGGCCCCGCCAGCTTATGGGCTGCTGGCCTGCCAGACTGCCGGGGCCATACAGCCTCTGTTACCAGGGAGAAACTTGGAGGAAAACTCAAACTGGGTTAATGATATGAGGGAATGAGTCCTGCATTGCCAGAGGACTTGTATTAAGGGAAACTTCCGTAATGTATTAACTGTCGTTCTCAACTACAACAAATAAGAGAGAACTTAAAGATATTGTACAATAATGACATCAATGTAAAATGAATATATATGTATATACAAGCATATTCAAAACATATCTTGCAGCAAACTTTTCTAAGAACAACATCCACTAATCCATCTCGCACTCCAATCAATAAGTTCTACTCTTTTAGTTTAGGTTGAGGACTCTGTACATAACCCGGGGTCTTCAGTAACCACTCATCAACCCTGGTGACTATCTAGCTGCTAGCCTGAGCCAGGAGAATGGAGTGTCGCAGAAACATACCTGAGAGCTGAGAGGATCTGTGTGCACCAGCGTTTCCAAGATTGAAGGGGTAATTTCTTAACATTCTTTTTCGTTAACTTTAGAAATTTTTTGAGTGACCCTGAAGACATATATTCCGTGATGAAGACAACCTGAAACAAAAGTATCATGAGCACAATGCTACCAATGTTAATGCCAATGCTAATATTTATATTCAATATTTTATGGTTTATATTATAAATTATATTGTTTATAGTCATTATTTGATTTTGTTCAAATACCATAGTTTACTTATTTATATTAAAATTACTATACATGTAATTAAATGAATTTAGGAAATATTACATATTAATAAAACTTTCAGTATACAAATACCGCATACAAGAAATAATTAAAAAATAAACACACACCCTAGGTTTGTCGTTTTTACTGTCAATCCAGTATTTGTGTAGCTTAACGATGTTGGGATGGTCCAGCTGGGTTAGGTTATCAAACACTAATCGAATTTTCTCTTCTTGCTCCCGGAAGTTTCGTCGCTCACTAAACCGAACCTGCAAAATATTATGCTACTGAGTATAATATTTTATACTCGGGCTCAAGACCTTTTCTAATACACGTATGAACCAAAAGATTGAATATGGTTGGATCGCACAGGAGCAGTTGGAAAAGCTATCTCTGGGCCAGCATGTCATAATAAAAACAGAGGCTTCTACTGGGAAGTGTGATAATATACTTTAGGTAGGATACTAAATTTGCTATGTGCTATGTACGAAGTTGAGTTAAAAGTGGATGATATGACATTTTAAAGGACATTTTTTGGGAGGATCAACTGGGATGAAGGACTTTAAGGGAAAGATATTAATGATACTACAACTAGGTAATTACAATTAGATGACACACACATACACACACCTACCAAAATAAATACAAGACAAAACTAGAAAAGGTCCAAACATATGCAACAAGGCTCGTTCCTGAGCTCAGGGAAAACAACGAAAGACTGAGAGAATTAGAACTTGTTACACAAGTGAAGAGGAATATGAGGATCATCAAAAAGACATACTATTTTTGGGGAACTGACAAAGTAGACAAAGAAGCAGTTGTCAGCAAGCCTAATGGGTTAGACAAGTAAGTTGTTGAGGATATTACATAATTTTAAATGTAAATATGACAAAATATGAGATAGTTGTGTCTGCATCTAGGTGAATAAAGATGGAACCAAGTAATTCTATACTCAAATGAGGCAGACATATAGGTATTACAAGTAATTTTTTCATTATTGTAATTGTGAACAAATGTAATACACAAAGAAGTAAACTGGTGGAGGCAGACTTCATACACAGCTTCAAATGAAGATATCCAAAAGGCTCAGGAACCTGTACACAAGTCGATGGAATGCTAAGGGTAGATCAAGTAACAAAAGCTCAACCCCACCAAACATACTTCAGCGAGTACACACAAACACACAGATGAGTGTCTGTGGAAAATGGGTGAATGAGTCATACCAAGTGAGCTGGGAGAGAATGGCGGGCGTTATTGGCTAAATGGTACATAATTTATCTGATGCCATATAAGCAAGGTCTCTAGGGCAACATAAACATAAGTATTTTTCTGACTCTAGGTTAGGTTTACAATTTTTAAGTGGTGGTGCTGAGAAGATATGGTGGAGGAGAATGATAAAGTGGAGTAGGTTGGTGGCTACAGTTGTGGTGTCATGGTTGTATTGATGGTAACTGCAAAATGTGGTGATGGTAACTGCAAAATGTGGTGATGGTAGCAGTTGTGGTGCAGGTTTGGGTAAATTTTCTACCATCATCTATTACATAAGAGGGCATATGCAAATGAGCGAAATTGCACAACTAACTCCTTTACTGCGGATGATGTCTGAAGGAGACCTATTTCGTATCAATTGGAGGCCTTTTTTAATTGTATGGATTTCAAATAAGAGCAGCCATGCAGCTCATCCTCTTGAACGTTCACAACCGTAACCCATAAGGGGCATACCTGGCCGGCCTCTCAGTGTTCAAGAAAGAACTTAATAAACCCATTCAAAGGATACCTGATCAACCAGCCTGTGATTCATACATCAGGCTGCGAGCAGCCGCATCCAACAGCCAGGTTGACCAGACAACCAACCGGGAGGCCGGGTCGGAGGCTGGGTCAGAGGCCGGGCCTCCGGTCGTAGCAGACTGTGTAAGCAACCATATATTGCAACAAAAATCTGTGCATGTACAGATTTTTGTACATCCGTCTCACAAGCCTGCCGTCGAAACCATTTTCCTGCTGCCATCCATGTCCCCTTGTTTGGGCGTAAATCTCGTTCCTCCAGCCCATCCTCGTAAAAAGAAAACACTTACTAGGTACTACTAAGTAACTTAGTAAAAAAGTTACTATTAGTAAAAACTAGTAACTATGTAGTCGAAAGTATACATATGTCGTGACGGACCATCAGAAGATAGACTTTTGTATTACTAAGTTTGGACAAACCAGAAAAGGCTTTATATTTATAAAACTTTATAAACCTAACCATCCTAGGCCTAATACACACTATCCGAGGTCTAATATATTGTACATATATGTGCTATACTTGGACTAGGAATATTTAAGTTTGATTTTAGCTTTATTTTTCCCAGACTATAAAAAATAGTACAAATTTCCTCGAAGCATACATTTAGCTCCCTGTGCCCTACACCAATTCTAGTGGCCATTTATTTGACCATTCCTTCAGTTTGTCAAGGGTTCCTTGTAGCTTCATGCTGTCATCCTGTCTTAATCTTTCTCATCATCATTCTCATCATCAGCAGCAAACATTAAGAGGAATGAGTCTATACCCTCTGGAAGATCATTAACGTATATTAGAAACAGTTCAGGTCAGAGTACAGAATCCTGTGGGATTCCGCTGGTGACATCACGCCATTCTGAGGTCTCATCCGTCATAGTAAGTAAGTAACTATTTATTTATTTATTTATTTATTTATTTATTTATTTAATTAATTATTTAATTATTTAATTAATTAATTAATTTATTTATTTATATACAAGAAGGTACATTGGGTTTGAGAGAATACATAGCATAGTATTTACAATCTTATAAAGCCACTAGTACGCGCAGCGTTTCGGGCAGGTCCTTAATCTAGCAGATAGTTTAAAGTAGGTAAATTCTAGCAGAATTAATAAAGTGATAATTCTGCTTCCTATTGCTTAGGTACTCCCTTATCCACTGGATTACCCTACCAGGTATTCTTTCCCCCAATCGAATTAGCTTCAGCGACTTCTACTTCTAACCAATTCCTCTAACTGACAGCTCTAACACTCACAAGTTCTGTCTGGCGTCTCTGACCCCACCTGCGTCTCCAGTTTCCATCTATGACCCCTCGTATTCCTGTGCGCATGTGCGTGCTACATTAATATAATAATTCATTGTGTTGCGGGGACAGGAAGCCAGAGTGTATTCATACACGTTAGGCTTATATCGAGGCCACACCCCCGTCCCCCAAGGTCGAATTACTGACCCCCCCCCCCCCAGGATGCAAGCCCATATGCTGACTAACTACTGAGTACCTACTTACTGCTAGGTGAACAGTGCATTAGGTGATAGAAATGCGCCCAACCATTTTTGTCCCACCGGAGATTAGAACCCGGAATTCTGGATTGTGCGTCGAGAACGAACCCGACTGTTCTACCGGGTCCCTAATTAATAATCGTTACCATTAGTACATCCATTAGCACAAATAATTACCACTTTTACCTGATAGAAATTTGCAAATTAAGGGATAACAAGACAAAAGGCATCAGATTAATGGATTATCAAATTGATGTTCTCATTTTAGGCCTGGCAGAGGCGGGAAGTACGGCTGGCAGCGCTGCCGCTACCATGCTCTCCTCCCGTTACCATGGCGACGCTCCTCTCCAATTTACACATGACCATCTTTCACGTAATTTATTCGAGTCTTATATTTGAACCTCAAGCAAACGCCCCTACTGTAAACATTACCCAGAGTTTTACCTTTTAATTTACTTTAAATTTGTTTTAAGTATTAATTAAATCCGTGGATCGTACCCGGATGGGAGTGTGGGAGTTCTACTTCCCAAACCCGACCCGGAGCCAGATTTGACTTGTGAGAGCTTGTCCAGCTGGCTGTTTATGGGAGCGGTCAGCAGGCTCACATATCCACTATAGCCTGGTTGGTCCGACAACACAGAAAACTGTCTCTGATGTTCTTACATTGTTCTCTGTGCCTATGACACCAATATTCTTCAATGGATATATCCTTCCACACCGTTCACTCCACTATGTTGTTATTTTACTGTGGTATTTTGGGATCTGGCCCTCCAGTATTTTCTATGTACCTTTATTTGATTCATCCCTCGTTTCCTTTCCCGACAGTACATGTTGAGAGCTTTGAGACGATCCCAATAGGCGCTTTATCATGTGTCTGCGTGCCATGTTCTCTGTATTCCTTCTATTTCAGCAATCTCTTCCTGCTCTGAAAGTGATAGTGAGTATCGAGCAGTACTCAAGGCTGGAAACCACCTGTAATTTGAATAGTATTAGCATTGTGATGGGATCCCTGGATTTGAAGATTCTCGTAATCAATTCTATCACTTTTCTAGCTGACGCTATATTTGCTTGCTCATGTTCCCTAAAGGTTAGGTCGTGACACCATTGAACAAATCCACCATCTTTTGACCATGTCGTAGCTCAGTCGATTAAGGCAGAGTCTGGGATGCTCCCGGAAGTAGGTTCGAATCCTCGTCACGGCCCTTGTGGATTTGTTCATATGATGCATCACGCTATTGTAATTTCTGTGTGTCAGACACCATTATTCCCAGTATCATTTCCATGTTGCATTCCTTTGTTTAAGGTTTTCATTCTTAACATACCTGGAATTTATCACTGTTAGCCATCATGTCATTTTCTCCTGCACAATCGAAAACTATTCATATCCGCTTGTAGTTTTTCAATGTCTTTTACAAAGTCATTTTCGTGCTGATTTTTGTCATCTTCTAAAAGATGACACGAAATTGTGACTTGTGTTTTTGTTTATATGTGATATGAAAATAAGTTAAAGCAGTGGTGCAAGGGCTTTGCCCTGAGGTGGCTATAACACCTATCTTGTGGTAGTTCCGAGGATCAATCGCCCCGCGGCCCGGTCTCTGACCAGGCCGCGTTAGTCGTGTAGTCAACCAGACTGTTGGACGCGGCTGCTCACATCCTGACGTATGAATCACAGCCTAGGTGATCAGGTACAGAGCTTTTCACTGAGCTTGTACTCTGCTTTATTTGACTGACTTACACTTTGCATTCTGTTTGACAGAAAAAATGATTTTAGATGGCTCTACTTTATCTGTTATTTCTATTGAGGTAGAGAATGTTACTAATACAGCAATGTAAGACCAGACAAAACATTTGCCGAAGTAGCTAAAGGATCAGAGGGCAAGCAACAGGAGGCATAGCAGGATGTGCATAATTGCTCCATTGAGAAGCAGGGGTACAATAGGTACGCTGAGAGAGAACGATCAACATCAAGACTTTTCAACACACTCCAAC